CCATAGGTTTGCCATCACGGAACTATGGTGTAAACTGGAGACAGATGATGTAGTATCTTTCCCCCTCTGTTGAGAGAAGGCTGTTCAGTTCTGACATAGATGGACCCTTTGATCCCTCTGCCCAAAACGTGGACTTTGCTGTCTTCAACAGAATGGCCTTTGACTTTTAAATGCAGGTGGCCTGCTGAATCTTGTCCTGAGGAGTTTGTTCTCCTATGCTGTGCCATGCGTTTATGAAGTGGTTGTTGTTTCCCCGATGTGCAGATCTTTGAAACGTCTTCAAAGAAAAACAAGACCGTCCAGTTGCCTCTTGAAAAAGCACCTTTGGGACAACCAGGACTGAGAATCTTCACAGACATCTTGTCAGTCAGTGTCCAGAACATAGAATCATAGGGCTGGAAAGGATTTATTATTTTGCCCCCAGAAGTGGAAAAGATGAGAGCCTGTGCTCCATTCCACCCAGACAAAACAAACCAGCAAAATTATATGTTTACAATCTGAATGTGGAGTAAACCTCTCCTGAACACAGGAAGGGTGATTGCTGAGTAAGCTTGTGTGTCTCTTTAGTTAGCCTTACATTGCCTGCTGCCATTTCCTTTGTGCAACTGCCCCTCCCCCAGCCTGTCCTCCAGACCACAATGCAACTTTTGATGACTAGTCTAGCATATTACTTTACCCATTTATTAGACTTGTTGGCCAGCTATCTCACCTAGAGAAACGTAAGCATAATAAAAACGAATGCAGTATTAGAGAACGGGGGAAATCTCTTGGGTGAGAAGTGAAACATCTTCAGAAAAAACAAGAATGTTCAGTCGCCTCTTGAAAAAAGCCCCTCTGGGACAACCCTCACCTGGACGATTGAGAATCTCCAGACGTATTGAAGTATTAAAAATTGCGTTCTGAGATGCTTCACAAAAGTTTGCTTCCAACATATCACATTGCACTCCTGTTCAGCTAGCCATGGTTTAATAAATGTGCCACAATTGGCTGAGTTTGCAGAACACATAAAGTTGTGAATGCTCCAATACTGGGAGCTTTTAAGAAGAGATTGGACAAGCATTTGTCTGATATGGCATCAGGTTTCCAGCCTTAGTAGGGGGTTGGACTAGAAGACCTCCAAGGCCCCCCACAACTCTTATTCTGTTCTGTTCAAATCTACAACTGGGTTTAGAGCAAGGGTCTTCCAACTTGGCACGTTTAAGACTTGTGGACTTCAAGTCCCAGAACCCCTGAGCTAACATGACTGGAAGAGGAGGAATTCTGGGAGTTGAAGTCCACAAGTCTTAAAAGCTGTCAAGTTTGGGGACCCCTGAAAATTTAGAGGGAAATGGATTAGGATGAAAAGAGAAGCAAGGGGCAGAAGCCAGCATTGCCTCTCTGAATTAGGTAGACTATTTAATATCATTAAAATGGCAGCGTAACCGCCTGGCACACACAGTACATTGTCAGCACCAAACCAACATATCAGATTGCACTCTTGTTCAGCGAGCCAGGTGCCACAATTGGCTGAGTTTGCCAAACACGGGAGTTTCGCAGCCAAGATTGCTGCACGCTGTAAGCTATGAACGTCCAACCTTTTGGCTTGCCTGGGCTCCACTGAGGAAAGAGGGATTCTCTTGCGCCACATATAAATTATGTGATTTATGTTCCTTAACTATATTGCTTGCTAATGTATCTAAATCACACAATGTGAAAAGTTTGTGATCTGATGAGGCCACCTTATTAGTCGTCTAGGTCCGCATGTGGCCC